GTCTAAATGGGTTCAGTGTGTTGTGTTTGCCGGCTGCCCGTCTCATCTGCGTGAACACCAGGCTGGGATGTGAGACTTTGTGGTCTGACAGCCTTTGCAGTTAGTACCGAGTAAAGACTGTTTTCTGAGACTGTCACAAACGATAATTGTCACTTTGCACACAGAGGCCTCCGCCTGCACGAAGGCTGTGCTTCCTGATCCAGGGCAGCTGGCCCAGGGGCACTGCATTTCTTTTAATTGGAAGTCTCCTGACCCCCAGGGGGCCACGCTGTAGCCCCCGCATTGCCCTTTAAATAAAGCCTGGAAGCAAACACCTCCACCCAGGGTCCCCAGAGAGAGCCATCTCACAGACAGTACACCGGCCTGCCCACCGAGCCACACTGCCTCCCCACCCCCGCCCCCTGGCCAGCCTAAGCACGTGTTGGGGTGAACGTGGCGGGAGCTCCGTGGCCTTGGGACACCTCAGCCGCCAGGGCTCAGGTTTACAAGCACAGTCATGCTCCTGTGTTTAGAAGATGACCTCATCTGCCGCCCAGGCCACGGGCATCAGGTTGCAGAGGATTCTAGAAGTGGTGTTAAAGTCGGGGTGAAGACTAACTGGTGGAAGAGCTGAAGATGCCAGCTCTGTGTGAACCCCCACCCAGCTTCAGGGCACAAGGTCCACACCGGGAGGGAGGGCCGTGACTGCCTGTCCATGCAGAAATCCTGTTGTCACTTGTCCCAGAGGCATCTAGGGTGCCCTCCCTCCAGAGAACACACTCTGGCTCTTCAGGAAGTGACCCCTGCCCTGCAGCACCAGGACTCGGCTAGCTCTGCTGCCTGACATTGCTCTTCTGAATCGTAGCTCCCAAAGGGGTGCAGGAAACGAGTGGGGGGCTTCCGGTGAGGGAGTTGTTCTGTTTCCCGGATCAGGATGAAAGTGGTTTCAAACTAGCACGCGGGGGCGGGTAGGGGTGTTGCCCCATGGATGCCGTCGGCCTTGCTGTTCCTCCAGCTCCAGGCCCCTCCAGGGTCCAAGGTCCTGACGGCAGTTGACAGACACCTCATGTGTGCTTGGCTTGCATGGGACAGCAACCAACCCACCCCCTGGCCCAGTCCCCCTTTGATTAGAGACCCACCAGAAACAGGACTGGAGAAGGCTTGGGAACTCAGAGAAGCCAAGGACCCAGGGAGGGAGCCCGCCCAGATGCGCAGGCAGGGCCGTCCCCAGATGCGCAGGCAGGGCCGTCCCCACCTGCCCAGGCATTGCCTCAGGAGCCACGCGGCCTGAGTTCAAGCAGTGTCCTCCCCCCCTCCCGCCCTTCCACCCCTCATCCAGAGGGCACCTGCACTCTTCCACTTCCTCTTTGGAAAGCATGACTGGGTCTCCCTGAGTTGGGGGTTATGTGCCTCTGGGCTTCCTTTCTCCCAACATCTCCATGGGCTTAGCTGCACTGGGAGACGGGGCCTCCTGCCCCGGGGCCAGCGCTGACATGGGGTGCTTTTTGGGGGTGGTTATGACCCACGAGGGGAGGAATCCTAGGTTATCATTACAAGAAAAGGGTTAATAAGGTGTCCTGCGTGGCTGCAACCATCCGTGCCTGGGAGACTGGCTCTGCCCCAGGAGAAGGGGGGCAAATCTTGGGGCTCTCTTGGCCTCTGCCAGCGCCCAGGTCTTCAGTGCAGGGAGCTCTCAGGCCCGGCTCCTCCCCAGCCCTTTCCATCTGCTGATCTTCACGGGAAGCACCTGTCCTGGGGGACGAGGCCCTGTGGCAGAAGGGCATTCGCTGTTAACAACGGGTTCAGCTACATTCTTTCACTAATCCGCCACTAGCCGGAAAATTAAGGGATCACAAAAACTGCAGTCCTGAACCTCCTCATTCGTCCCAGAGTCTCTGTGGCACTTTCAGGATCAGCAAAATAGATTCCGGGTCATCCCCGACGTTTGCTGTCGTCAGATGATCCGAGTGGCCAAGGTCGACACTTGGTTTGAGCAGCGGATCCGTTCTGTTGGCTCCTGTGAGTCAGCTCGTGGAGAAGACGTCACATTTTCCATGGGGCAGAATTTTCTCCGACTAAGACGAAAACTTGAGTCATCCTCCAGGAATGCCTTTGCTGCTCTGGCGGTGGACAGACCTCCACTGAAGGAGAGGGAGGAGGATGACTTCCGCCCAGCCGCAGACCCCCGGGCCAGGCGGCTCGGGAGCGGGCAGTGCCCCACTGTGAGAGCCCTGGCCCGTGCCAACGCGGGGGATCTGGCTGATGAACACAACTGGTTTGCAGACCAAAGCTCCCCTGAGGGTGACCACATTTGGTAGACTTGCTTCCCAAGTGTTTCCTTCTCTCTGTTCTAAAACGGACTACGTGGAATGTACCTGGGCCATTTGTCACGAGGGTTCTCCTCGTGAGTGTCAGGCCACTCAGAGCTCTTGAGGCCAGCAGGGCCCGCAGGGCTGTTCATCTGCAGTTTTTTTTTTTTTTTTTTTTTTTTTTTTTTTTTTTAACCAATGTACCTGTTACTCCGCCTCGTGGGGGTGGGGGGACGTCCACTGCCCCGGTGATCAAAACTGTCCCTAAAATCAGAGCAGTGAGCACTCACTGAGCTCCGGCTCCCCATCAGGCATCTCGGTAGTTACTGGTGTCAATCTGTTCACTCCTTTTTTTTTTTTTTTTTTGACAGGTAGAGTTATAGACAGTGAGAGAGAAAGAGAGAGAGACAGAGAGAAAGGTCTTCCTTCCATTGGTTCACCCCCAAAATGCCCGCTACAGCTGGTGCTGTGCCAATCAAAAGCCAGGAGCCAGGTGCTTCCTCCTGGTCTCCCATGCAGGTGCAGGGCCCAAGCACTTGGGCCATCCTCCACTGCACTCCCGGGCCACAGCAGAGAGCTGGACTGGAAGAGGGGCAACCGGGACTAGAACCCGGCACCCATATGGAATGCTGGCGCCATAGGCGGAGGATTAACCAAGTGAGCCACGGCGCCGGCCCCCAATCTGTTCACTCCTTACAGCCCTGCAAGGGACTTACCAGTGTCAGGGTTCCCCTTTCAGATGAGGAAACGGGCCAGTGGGGTAAGGCGTGCGGCTGGCGAGGAGCAGAGCCGGAACGTGAGCCCAGGCAGCCTGGTGCAGAGCCTGCCACCAAAGAGCAGCCGCATCTTACGTGGGCAGCCCAGTTCCTGCTCCCGTGTGCTCTGGAGAGCTCCGCCTGTGGAGCGTGGCAGCCTCTTTGGAAGCCCCCTGCATTGCTGTCACAGAAGAATAAGAAGTGCAAAGGCCAAGTCAATAGAAAATATAGGAAAATAAATAAACCACTAGATGGCTTAATCAAAAAGACAGGGAGAAAGTACAGACACAAAGCTAGAAATGATAATAGGGAAATAAATATAGAGAAATTTACAGAAGCAAAAAATAATGTTCTATGCAGGATACTTCAGAAATTTCTTAGAATTAAGTTTAGGAGCAGTCAGGATGCCCGTGTTCCACGTTGTAGTTCTTGGGTTTGTCCCTCGCCTCCTTCTGACTCCAGCTTCCTGCTAATGTGCACCCTGGGAGACAGCAGTGATGGCTGCAGCAGTTGGCTTCCTGTCACTCACATGGGAGAACTGGATTGTGTTCCCAGGTCTGAGTTTCTGCCCTGGCCTAGCCCCCAGCCTTTGCAGGTATCTGGAAGTGAGCCAGCCCATGGGCGATTATCTCCCTCCCCTGCCATGTGTGTGTGCATATGTGGACGAAATAAAAGTTTTCTGAAAGCGCGAAGTCGGAGTGGGCACTCACACAGCAGGTTAAGCCTAGGGTGGAGTCCCACTTCTGCCTCCAGTCCAGCTCCTCCCTGCTGGTGTACCTGGGAGGCAGCAGGTGATGGCCCAAGGACTCGGGTTCCTGCCTCCCTCCTGGGCGGCCTGGATGGAGTTCCTAGCTCCCAGTTTTGGCCTGTCCCAGCCCCCGCTATTGTGGGCATTTGAGGGGTGAACCACTGGATGGAAAATCTGCCCCCTCTCTGTGACTCTGCCTTTCAAATAAGATGCATTTTCCGTGAACTTTCTGAAGACCCAGTCGTACGGCACTAACATAAATGAGATTTCCAGGAGCAACATGTGCATGAGCCGTCATCTTCCCCAACAAACCCGACGTCCTCGTCATGGGTCACTGTGAGGTCACCCCCAGCAGGTGCCGAGGGAGTCCCCGTCTCCTGGGTGAGGAAGCCATCCGACTTTCCACCATGAAAGCAGAGGTCAGCCAACGTGCGGCTTAGGGCAAATCCAGGCCAGACCCAAGGGATAATCTTGCTTTCTGAAAACCAGCAGTGCCCTGGGTTGTAGCCCACCCCAGGAGAGCTGTCTCACCTGGCTTATGGCTTACGAGGATCACCCATAGCCACAGGGGAGGGGGCTCTGGGTCATCTGAGACTTGTGCTGGGCTGGCCGGCTCTGTGCAGCGCGAGTGCACCTGTCTCCTACTGCCCTCGAAGGCGCGGCTTCAGCTCCTGCTCCCCGCTCCGGCTTTTAGTTCTCTTTCCAGACCTGGAGTTTTCCTTGTCTTGCATTCAGGATTGGCTGTGTGTTTAGACATGTGTTTAAGCACTGGAGTCACTGAGGTTTCTTCCCTCGACGGCCTCAGACAGATCTTCAGGATTTTTCACGTTTTGGAAATATGTCCCGAGAAACTAGTGGCCCTCAGATCCAAACACCCATGAGGAGTTACAGGAAGAATCACTGAAATTCTTACCCGTGTTGGGGTCTGTGCAACACACTCTCTTTTGGCGTGAATGTTGATTTTTTGTATCACTGGGAGAGCTAAGCTGAGTGACAGTTGAGCAAAGTGAACTGCCATTCACTTCTGAGACCTGAATCTTTTCTGCTCAAATGGGCAGATTAGTAGGCAAGGGGCAGTGTCCTTCAGTGTTCTCTCCAAATAGCTATGATTCTCAGATTGCTCACCCCCACTGAAAGCATGTTTATGTCCCCCCCATTTCGAGTCTGCCAGCAGTGTTCAAGGTCGCTGTTGATGATGCTTTCCCTTAGATGTGGCCGAGCAGTATTTTCAAGAGTGCATGTCTCATCTTCAGGACTGTGGAGGGAGGGAAACAGCCAAGTTTCTCTCCATTCAAGATGAATTTTGTCGTTTTCTGCAAATTGCTGGACAAAATGAGGTAAGTTGGGGTTACAGTTGTCCAGTCATTCACATGGAAGACTGGTTGGTATCCCAAGGGTTACTCCTTTACTCTGTGAGCATCTGTCGAGCACCTACTATGTGCAAGGCACGTGGCAGGCCCTGGAGGGGCACAGATAAATAAGGCCCAGTGGCCTCTCCTGGGAAGCTTCTAGACAGGAGCCAGGTGCTTCTCCTGGTCTCCCATGGGGTGCAGGGCCCAAGGACTTGGGCCATCCTCCACTGCACTCCTGGGCCATAGCAGAGAGCTGGCCTGGAAGAGGGGCAACCGGGACAGAATCCAGCCCCCCAACCAGGACTAGAACCCGGGGTGCTGGCGCCACAGGCGGAGGATTAGCCAAGTGAGCCATGGCGCTGTCCTGAAAACTAATTCTAAGAATGTAGATGTCCTGTCCACTTACGAAAGCTCCTAAAGGACTGGACACCATGAGGTCCCACAGGATGGACCCCGCTCATTGCAGCTGGGGTAAAGGGTGGCGGTGAGTGTGCCTGTTTCCTCTCTCCCCCATCTGAGTAATGGACGGCACCTGTGTGTCCAGGGAAAGCCACACAGGGCGGAAGTTCCAGCTCCCTCTCCTGCCACTGACCTGGACAGGCACACTTCACGTGGAACAAGAGCCCGTAGTCGTCGGTATTGAAACCCTTAAGAACGTAGTCCCCGCAGAGCCACACGCTGTGACTGCACATACACACATACATGTGTGTGCACACACACGACCCTCTGTATTTGTGTGTTCCACATTGCAGAATCAACCAACCAAACGTATTTCTTTAAAACACCGTGTCTGTACTGGGCATGTACAGACTTCTTTTTCTTGTCATTATTTCCTAAAAAGGTAGCAAATGTTTGCATAGCATTTGCCTTGTATTAGGAGTAAAAGTAACCTAGGGATGGTTTAAAGCATACAAGGGGATTTGTGTAGGTTGTATGCAAACACTACACCATTTTATTTACTAGTTATTTATTTGACAGAGGTACAGAGTGAGACAGAGAGCTCCCATGTGCTGGCATCTCCCTCCCCACATGCCCACAAGAGCTGAAGCTGGGCTGGGGCCTGCGTCGGGAGCCAGAAACACAATGCAGGTTTCCCACGTGGGAGGCAGGGACCCGATCCCTCGAACATCACCACTCCTCCCAGAGTTTGCAACGCGAGGAAGCTGGAGTCAGGAGCTGGTTCCGGGTATCGAACCCCAGCACTCCCACGTGTGACTCAGGCATCGTAAGTGCTAGGAAAAGTGCACACTTCCAATACCGTGTTACATAAGGGACCTGAGCAGCTGGGGATTCTGGTATCTGTGGACAGCCTGGAACGGATGCCCCAGGATCCCGAGGCACAGTTCATGGCGGGGTGGGGGGTGGGGCGGGGTTTTGTTTTGTTTTGAGCTCCGACCTCTTTGGCAGATCATTTCCCTTGCTCCCCACAGATGGTCCTCCCTAACAGCACTTTCCCAACACCACCCCTCTCTCAATGCAGCATCACAGGCTTTTTACTTGTATATATCCTTCAAGTGTTGTTTGAAAGGCAGAGTGACATCCGGAGAGACAGGGAGAGATCTTTATCCACTGGTTCATTCCCCAAATGTTCCCATCAGCCAGGGCTGGGCCAGGTCAACACGAGAGCCAGGAACTCTATCCCTGTCCCCGACGTGGGTGGCAGGATCACAAGTCCTTGGGCATCTTCTGCTGCCTTCCAGGGTGCGCGTTGGTAGGTAGCTGCATTAGAAGGTGCAGATGGGACTCAAACAAAGGCACCGTAATATGGGATGTGGGCGTCCCTAACGGCAGCTTAACCCGCTGCACCACAAGGCCTGCCCCACACACAGGCTTTTAACCTGGATGCACCATGTTGTCAGGACAGAGTAGGGCTGCATTCCCAAGAAATGGAATTCCATTCTTTATCTGGGTCACCCAACCAGGGAGAGAAGGGCCTTCCAGGGGTCTCAGATCCCCCCCCCACATTTAGAGGATGCTCAGGTCAGAAGAGTGGGGGCCGTCTGCCCCATGATGCCTCTCCCCCTCCAGGTCCTTGGTCACTCTCCCCTCCACAACATCCCTTGAACCTGTGTGCCTCCCCTGCCCCCGCCAGTCATGATCTCCTGCCTGGAGCACTCTGGGAAGCTCCCGTCTCCCGGCCACTGCTTCTAGGCTGGCCCTTGTCTAATCCGCTCAGAATAAGGAGGCCCCGGCGATCCTGGCAGAAAGCAAAGCTGATCTGTGATCCACGGACACTCATCTGTGAGACACTGCAGAGGCTCCCCAGTGCCCTTAGGACTAGCCAGAACCTGCCCCCTTCCACCACCTGGGCTCACTGACAGTTCCAGTCTGCTTGTGCCCTGCCTCCCTGGTGTGTGTCCTGCCACCCTGGCCTTTCCTAGTTCCCACCTCTGAGCAGAGAACGCCAGCTCTCAGTCTCTCCTGGAGGGGCCTCCCCAGCCATCTCAGTCTGGCCCTCGGCCCCCGCCCACCTCCCTGCTCCTCCCCAGGCTGCCCTGCACTCTCCCCGTTGTTCCTCCTTGCAGAGCCCTGCTGGATATAGGGAGAAGTTTGTAAGTACAGACTGGACATCCCTGATCCAAGTGCTCCAGAATCCAAAATGTTTAGGGCACCAGCGTGATGCCACAGTGCAACCTCCCGCACCCACCCTCCCGTGGCGGTCACGTGGCCGGCAGAAGGCAGGCGCGCTAACAAGACCGTGTTAGATTACCTTCAGGCTGCATGTCTAAGGTGTGTGTGAAGCGTGTGTGAAGTTCATGTTTACACGAGGTTCTCCTCCCCATGAGACAGGATAGCTCATTGTGTATGTGTAACCATTCCCAACCCCGAAACACTCTGGTCACGAGCATTTCAGATGGGGGACACCCCACCGTTTGTGGTGGCTGTCGGTGGTGTCTGTTGACTAGACTGAGCAGTGACCCTCGTGCTCGTGGTGGGGAGCGGGGAACAGCTGGGTGGGGGGACGCTTGGCTGCAGGCCAGCTGGCTGCCTGACTACCCAGGCCCTGCGCCCTCCCCTGTTCCCGTCTGGCTCCCTGCCGTGGGGTCTGCTGCCGAGGCACTTGGTGCCTCACTGCCCGTGTCCCACCACCCAAGTCAGTGGTGAGATGCTTCCTGCTTTCCCAGGATGCCGCTGCAGAGTTTGGCAAACTGGCTGTTTTCATTCTAGGGCAGCTGCCAGCCCTTCCTGTGCCCTTGTAAGAATAGGGAAGGCTACCCCTCCTCAGGTGGTACAGCCTGTGCCAGGGCACATGGCTTGGAGCGTGGCACAAGGTCCAGATTTCAGTCCAGGTGCCCTTGCCCATGACGCAACCTGCCCGGCAGACACAGCAGCCTTATGCTACGGTCACCCTTTGGGTGCAAACCTCTCACCAGGGGTTCCAGTAGGTGTCCACTAGCAGGGGCTGGGCCCAAGGGCAAGCACAGGGCTGCGCTCAGACCACCCTAGATGTGGCCCCAGCCCACACACAGGCACCGACAGGAGGGTGACCCTGGGGTAGGGGATGCTTTGGACCATAAAATGCGAGTGGAGCTCACTCTGCCACAAGTTAAGGTAGTCCCTGGGTGTCCAGCTTCCTGTGTGCCGCTCTCCTCACCAAGAACCTTCTCGGGCCTCTTATTCTTCATTAAAAACAAACTCCTACCCCTGGCATGAAGCAGGACCCACACCACCAGCCGGCCTGTGACTCCTCTTCCCGGCTTCACACCCTGTCTGCCATAGCCTAAGCAGGCCACGCGCTTCCCCTGTGTACCCAGGTGGCCCTGCCCTGCCCCCGGCCCACCTCAGCCCTGCTTTCTCCTCGATCCTCTCCACTAAGCTCCTGACGGCTTCCTCCAGCTGGACTCTCGACCTGACCGCTAACTTCCCACACATCCGTCTCTGGCTTCCCTGCCAGGCTGAAACCTGCTTCCAGGAGAGGGGTCAGTGGGTCCCCCAGAGCCTGGCAGTTCCCCTGGAAAAGCTTCCCGGGCCCGGCCCCTGGCCAGTGTGGGTCCCTGCTCAGGGGATGTGATGGGATCCAGTCTCAGGCAAGCCTGCATTGGAACCCTGGTCCCTGGTGTGGCTCCCACAATTCCTCTGCTTCCCACCTAAGCGATGGATTTCGGCCGCATCAGCACCATCAGTGTGATTCCCCTATCCCCGCCCCTAACTCGCTGCCAATCAAGGGACAGAGCCCTTGCTAGCCCCACGGCCCACGCGGTGGGAAGCGCCCATGGGTCCCTGCTTCCTCGGGCTGTGATCAGCATCTGTGTCCGGCAGCCATAGCCGTGCCTGCACGCGGGAGGCTGAGGACGTGTGGCAGACTGGCAGCGCTGCGCAGGGCTGTCCTGCTTGTCTTAGTGTGTGAAGAAATCGACATCAGAAAAGGCTGTTTTCTGACCAACTCGGTTTCTTTTCACTCCGCATTGGTGCAAATAAAACAGATAAATCAAGCATGTCACGTCACATTGGAATGTTTAACTGGGGTTTCCTAAAATATTCCCTGTGAGAATAGAAACCTGTGGAATGTTCTGGATGGTCAGTAAGGAGACCGATTGCAGGGAGCATGCATGGGAACACGCGTGTGCATGACAGGAGAAAAACCTGGATCTAAAGGGTGCGAAATCACCGGCGGGATTCAGACCCTGCCCCACCCTTGCCGCGCTGTCTGGTGCCCAGCGAGTGTCTTGATGGCTGTGCTCAGCGTCCTCGGGCAAAGGGGGGCCAAAGGGGGCCCCTCTGAGGGGCAGCGAGAACGAGCGGAGGGTCACGCGGGTTCCTGACACCTGAGGTGCCCTGCCTGCCGGCCTCGCTCCGCTCACCTGAGGTGGGTTTTCTCCACAGCGCCCCTCACGCACTCCCGCTTCTGGTTTACACCCCTATCCCCTGGCCATGTTATTTCCTGTCCCCCAGCCAGCCAGAGGGAGTGGGCGCAGCTCAGGAGCCCACCGAGCCCTTCCCCTGCGGTGACGGCGCCCGTCGGCTGCTCTTCTTCATCTTGGTCGCTGGCCAGCCTTGTGTTCCTTTCACAGAGAGCAACCTCCATCCTGAGAGAGTCCCTGGAAGCCAAAGTGGCCACGTTTGGTGACCTCAGTCCCGAGGTGGCAGAGACGTACCGGCTCCTGGGCGAGGCAGCCCTGGAGCAGGGGAACCACCGCATGGCCCACAGGACACTGAAGAAGGTAAGGCTGGAGGCGAGCCTGATGGGAGAACACGGGGCTCCCCCCAGGCCCCAGTCCTCCCCCGACCCGGCTCCTCTGCAACACGGTGCTCTCTGTGTTTGGGGAAGAGAAGGCCACATTTGCAGATCCAAACTAACACTCTGAGTAAAAGAGAAATCCTCTCTGACACAGGCGTTTAAGAAATTATCAATAATAAAAATAATTATCAATTTAAAAAAATATTTGAAAAGCAGAGGTATAGGGGCCTGCGCCATGGCTCACTTGGTTAACCCTCTGCCTGTGGGCCGGCATCCCATATGGGTGCTGGGTTCTAGTCCCGGTTGCCCCTCTTCCAGGCCAGCTCTCTGCTGTGGCCCGGGAGTGCGGTGGAGGATGGCCCAAGTGCTTGGGCCCTGCACCCCATGGGAGACCAGGCGGAAGCACCTGGCTCCTGGCTTCGGATCAGCAGAGTGCCGGCTGTGGTGGCCATTTGGGGAGTGAACCAACGGAAGCAAGACCTTTCTCTCTGTCTCTCTCTCTCTGTCTCCCTCTCACTGTCCATAACTCTACATGTCAAATAAATTTAAAAAATAAAAAGAAAGAAAAGAAAAGCAGAGGTATAGAGAAACAGGGAAAGAGTAAGATCTTCCATCCTCTGGTTCACTCCCCAAATGACCTCCACAACAGGGGCTTAGCCAGGCTGAAGCCAAGGGCCTGCAACTCATCTGGGTCTCCCATGGGTGGCAGAGACGCAAGACCCTGGGCCATCTGCTTTTCCAGGTGCATTAGCGGGAGCTGGTTAGGAACTGGAGCAGCCAGGACTCAGGACCCCAACCCCTGCTCTTATGGGATGCCAGCATCACAGGTGGCACTTTTACCCCCACCCCCCCTTGATGATTTTTTTATCCTGCAAATATTTTTAACTTTTACATAGTGTGATTTCTCAGTCCTTTGTGATCATGCGCTCTTCCTGGGTACCTGGTTTATAGAGAAATCCCATGTTTTCTTCTATAATAATTATTATTCTTTTCTTTTTTTGGAGCTTATTTGTGTAGGTGTTAGATACTGAGATCTCACATTACCTTTTTTCCAAGTGGGTACCCAGTTGGCCAGAGCTATTTTCATTGAAAAGCCCATCTATGTTCCAGGCTTAAGATGACAACGTCAGCAAACACTCAGTGTCCAGAAGTCCTGGAGTCTGTTGCTGGATTTCTGTTTCATTCACAAGTCTTATTCATGTGCCAGTATGTCACAGTTTTATAGGATGATTCAGCATAAGGTGGGACTAGCAGGATGGCTTTTCTTCTAGACCTGCAGGGTTTCTAGGTGTTCTTGAACGTTTATTTTCCGACAGATTTCTCTATCAGTTTGTCTAGCTGCATTAGCAGTGTTGGTACTTTTGTTGAGTTGCTTGTAAATAAATTTTGGGAGAACTGACATCTTTATGATGTGAGTCATTGCACCCAAGAAGAAGGGAGAGCTCCCCGTTTGTCCATGTCTACTTTTGTGCGTGTCGGGCACTTGAGAAGTGTCATACTGTATAGGTTTTGCACATTTCTTCTGTACTTCTAAGCATTTTATCTTCTTTGATACTGTTGTAAATGGGGATATATTATATCTTTTATTTTTGTGTATGTGAAGGCTTTGGTTTCTCTAATTTTATATCCTACCACCTTGCTTAATTCTTTCATGGCTTGAGTTAATTTGAGCATTGATACTATTACGTTATATGCAGTCGACATAATTTTACTTTATGTTTTCTAATTCTTATGTTTCTAATTGATTTCTCTCATCTGATCACATTGATCTGTACCACCAGTATGGTAAGTAGCAGTGGTGATACTGGACATCCTTGCTTTGTCCCTGTTCTTAGTGCAAGTGCCTCTGCTGGTTCTTCATTTGATAGATGCTGGCTTTAGAAACAAGGTTTATGTATTTTTATCATGTTAAGGCAGTGTCCATCAGCTTACATTTTAATGGATGTTTATTTAATTAGAAATCAATGTTGAATTTTGGCAAAGGCTTTCTCAGAATCAATGGAGATAATCAGGCACTACTTAGATCGCTTGCTGTGGTGTCTTTTATCATGATACTGAGCCGACCCTGCATCCCTGGGATAGTCCTGCTCAGTCACGTTGCGTTACTTGCTTAAAACGTTGTCTTGGTTCATTTTGCTGCTCTAACAGGACAGCAGGGACCAGATGATTTATAAGAAAAGAGGCTGATTTCTCACAGCCTGGAGGCCAGGGAGCCCGAGGTTGAGGGCCCCTGGCCCTCTGGTAACGGATGGCTCAGACCAGAGGAATTGAGTCTAGCAATCTTTCCTCTGAGCCAGGCCTTTTTCTCATCTTCTGACTGTTCTGGCTGTGCCGTAGAAGATACTAGATTTGGTAACGTGTGTGGTGCCTGTTTTTCAATGAGATGACACATGTCCATCATCAGTTACTCAACAAATAGTTTTTGGGTACCTTCTGTGGGCCAGCTGCTAATCAGACAGACCTGTGTGGACACAGAGGCCACGGCAGTGTGCACCTTGCCTTCGAGAATGCCCAGTGTGTCCAGGAAGACACATGTGGATCCAAGACACGGTGGTGAGGGAGGGGGAAGAGGGAAGCAGGGGTGGCAGGAGCTCCATTCCCCGTCCCCTGCCTCCCTCACTGCAGTCACTGGCGCCTTTGGGGTGACTGCGCGCCCTGGCACTGTGTCAGGTGACTTGTGGACATTAACTCACGTAAGCCCTACAACAACCCTAACAGGTGGGGCCTTTACCCTCTGTGGTTAGCAAAGGGGAAACTGAGGCTGGGAGGGAAATGTCTAGGCTAAGGTTTTCCAAGTGGAGGTTTCATGCTGGCGGTCTGTATCGTGCAGACTGCTCCACACCGTCATCTGTTTCCTCGCGAGAGCTTCCCCGTGATTGACAAACAACAAAACCAGGGGCTCCTGGGCGGTTTGGCGGCTGGTGGCACAGTGGGGAGAGCGCCACGGTCAGTAGGACAGGAGGGTTTGGATGCTACTGCTGGGATACAGCTGAGGCCAGCTCAGGTACCAAAGGGCACCTGTTGTGCTGGGGTCTCCAGAGACGAGCAGGCCAGGGATGCAGTGGAGCTGGGTGACAGGGGGCCTGCAGGGTCAGACTCTAAGGCTTGAGGGCTCCCTCTGTCCAGGACCCCCCTCCCCCACCCCACATCCCGCTACCCCAGCCCCTCTGTGCACTGGTCCTCCTCTCTCGTGGCAATGTCTTTCTTTAAAATAGAGATCGCGGCTGCCAACGCTCTGAAATTTGACTTCCTGCTCCTGTGCGTTTCCTTATCTCAGCTTGAAAGACTCAGGGCAGGACTGATCGGCGCAGCTGGAATCCAGCACCCAACCCAAGGCCAGTCAGCAGCGGCTAGGGGAGTGGTGGCTCTGAGAACACAGTGCTTCCAACGCAGCGGGTGCCTGGGAAACAGTCCCACCATCAGAACGCCTGGGACAGGTCCCCAGGCCCCCTCTTTCTATTCGAAGTGTTTGCAGTGGATACAGCGGGAATGTACCAGCTGCTTCCCTTAGGAATGACATGACCCGGAGCAGTGAGGGAGTCCAGTCTGTTCGGGGCGGAATTCTGCCCTACGGGTCCATGCCGACATCCGTGGGAGGGAAGGGATTTAGGGCAAGTATCTGCAGAAGTAGTCCTGAAAAAGGACGCAGGACAGGAGAGCCAGAAATCCCAGGCCAGGAAATGGACGGATGGAGGCAGGAGACTCGGAGCCTAGGAGAGCGGAGTGTGTTAAGGCACCAGATGCAGTCGGGGCTGACAGTCCCTCGGCGTCCATGAGGCCATGGGCTGATTCCTCACAGCCTTACACAGCGTCCTGCGGCCTGCAGGAGAAGCAGCCCTGCACCTGCCCTGGTGGCCCTCAAGCCAGAGCTCACGAACTTGAACTTCATCTACATGAAGTGTTGTGCCCTCCCAGAGTGAGTCCGTTCTTCTCATTAGAAGTGGATTACAAACGAGAACTGTGCCCATTGGTATTGGATTTTGAATTTTATGTGACACGTGCAGGCACCTGTGCCGAATCCCCCATCTCTGTCTCTCGCCTGCAGTCCAGAGTATCTTCTGTCTGACCCTCTGTGGAGAAGGCTTTCTGAACCTTGCCCTCAGCCGCTGTTGAACATTTTCACAACAAGTGTAATTGTATTTTTGCTTAAAATTGACTGAGGAGCTAGCGTTGACCATGGAATGGAGTAGACCAGGAAGGGAGGCAAGAGGCCCTGCTTCCTCCCCACTGCTGGTCCAGGGATCAGGTGAGGCCGCAGGATGAGTGCTGAACACTGCCCACGTGCAGGCCCCCGAGGCAGGCAGGCTTCCTGCCATTGGCATCTCTGAGAGGGAGCATTGTGGCCCAGGCCCCGCCCACCACAGGAAGCCCCAGTTTCCTTCCTTGCCTCACCCCTCCCCTGAAGAGGGTGGATGAAGTCCAGAAAAACCAGGATGCGGCCTAGCCACTCATCTCCAGGTGGGCTGGGAACCCCGGGATGGGGATGCTACCAGCTGCGCACAGAACCTGGAGCAGGGCGGGGGCCCACACAAGCTCTGCTCCTTTGGGAGCACCTGCCGCGGCCTCCACAGGCTGAGGGCCAGGCCCAGTCCCTGTTCCTGATCGTCACAGTGGCGGCGGCGCCCTGACACTGCTGGAAGTCGGGCTCGTCGTCCCCGGCAGGCGACTCTTTGCTGGTGCCAGGGGCTCGCCGAGCGTGGGTCTGGAGCCTCCTGCACCAGGGCTCCTCTCTGGTGGAGAAGCTCTGGGGCAGAGCGCTTGGCTCCAGCTTCCTGGGAAGAGCCGGGACTCGCCGCTCCTGGCTGCGCTGCCTCCTCAGGAGCGGAAGCCCAGGCTGCATCACCCCTAAGAGCCACGGGGAGGCCACTGGCCTTCTCTCCCCGAATTTGGGCCTTGTCGGCCATCCGTCCTGAGAACAAGGACTTTCACGTTTCAGAGCCATTTGCCAGAGCCGGAGAAAAGGTGGGACTCGTATTATGAAAG